ATTTACATCTTTGCTTTTGAGGAAATCTCAGTGAAGTGATTAAAACTGGTGCATAGGAGTTTAGAACAGAACAGAACAGAATAGAATAGAATAGAAGTTAGTTCCTAAAACGTCTAATATAACCTCTTGAATTAAAAAAGGAAAATCTCTTCAAAATGATGATCATAATTGGGACGGAATTTTTCCTTGGAAAACCATGTTTTGTCATACTTGAAACTATGTTGAAATCAGAGAAATGTTCTTGCCACCCGCCCACCCTTGTCATTTTATCGATTTGAATTAATGTACAGGGTTTCTTATAAAAATACACTTTAATTTGGTTTTGTATCCATTGCCTTTGTTAACAGTTTCAATTTTTGTCCGTCCTAAAATCAGCCATTTTCAGCTAAAACTTGGGCTCAGGTGGGGAAATAGTTTTTTACCCTTTAGGGTGACAATTTCACTGTGAAGAAGTTATTTCTTAAAAAACATTGTCTTTTTTTCTCTCCTTGGAAATGGTAATTCTGCAGTACATTATCGTAGTTCTAATGCCAGATTTGTTTAAAATAAAAAGTAAAAATTAAAAAATCTTGATTTTCTTTTGAGGTTGGATAATGACAGGGTTTTAAATCTGATTGTAATACAGTAAGTGATTTAATAATCTCCTGAGATTCAGAATGGGAACAAAAGCCATTGTAGTGAAATAATGCGTGTTGGGTTTTTTTATTATTTTATTTTTTGGTAGTTTTTTTTTACAATTTCCTCTTCAAATTGTGTGATCCGAAATTTTGAAAAGACCTTTTTCTTTCAAACCCAAATTGGGCTGTTCGGTGGTTTGGGTCAAATAGTTTGTTAGGAAATGAGATTCAGATTTGGTATTATAAAACCCCACATAAATGTTAATTTATTACTATATAGTTCAGCAAGTTCAAGTCTTTTGTTTTAATATTAACATATCCAGCTTGATAGAATAATTACAGTTTTATAGAGTGAATAGATATATTATCATTGAAAGCCATTTGTACCCAACCAGCTCCCTCATCCTGTAACTGATGGGATGGAATTGTCATTTTTTCGGTGCAATGCTGAGTTTTTAGGATTTTTTGGAGCTGTGGGTTTTCCTTGGCTGAGAAATGTGTCCGTGTCATATCGTGTGGGCTTTCACAGGGTCACAGAATGATCTGGGGTTGAAAGGGACCTCTGGAGATCATCCAGTCCAACCACCTGCCAGAGCAGGGCCACCCAGAGCAGGGCCCACAGGAACGTGTCCAAGAGGGGTTTGAATGTCTCCAGAGAAGGAGACTCCACCACCTCTCTGGGCAGCCTCTGCCAGGGCTCTGCCACCCTCACAGGAAAGAATTTCCTCCTCATGTTGAGATGGAACTTCTTATTTTCAAGTTTGTGCCCATTTCCTCTTGGACACCACTGAAAAAAGACTGGCTCCATCTTCTTGACACCCACCCTTGAAGGATTTATAGGAGTTGATCAGATCCCCCCTCAGCCTTCTCTTCTCCAGACTAAAAGGCCCCAAGTCCCTCAGCCTTTCCTCAGCAGAGAGATGCTCCAGGCCCCTCAGCATCTTTGTAGCCTCTGCTGTCCCCTCTCCAGCAGTTCCCTGTCCTTCTGGAACTGGGGAGCCCACAACTGGTCCCAGTGCTCCAGCTGGGGCCTCCCCAGGGCAGAGCAGAGGGGCAGGATGACCTCCCTCCACCTGCTGCTCCCACTCTTCCTGATGCCCCCCAGGATGCCCTTGGCCTTCTTGGCCACCAGGGCCCATTGCTGGCTCCTGGGCAAAATGGAATTTAAAATATCACAGCTCTTTTGCAAACTGAGCATTTGTAATTGCTTTGCCAAGTTTTGAAACTATTTATTTACATTTATTAGCAGCGTTGCTCTCCAGCCCGGTGTTTGCTGGATGATAAAAGTCTGCAAGTCCTATATTTGGGGGGGTTTGAGGATTGCCATCGTCGTGAGGCGGTTTTCCTGAGAGCACGACTGCTTTTGGCAATTTTATACATCATTTGTATTCTCTGAAAGTGCTCAACAGACCTGCTATAGGGAACTGGCATCTTTGATGTGAAAATAAATGCCCTTGGAATAGGATGTTAAGTTTGATGCTCGTCTAACAATGGCAATGAGGGCTCACCCCTTCAGCGTTATAAAAGTTAAAATCCTCCTGCTTGTCTGGGGACTGGGCCTCCTGGAGCTAATGTGCACCTCAAGGTGACACCAGTAAAGCTCTTGTCTGTTCCAAGAGAGACCAGAACTCAAGTGCATCCGTGTATCGCTCTAGGTTTTTAGGGATTTGTGGCTGGAAATTTCCCTACATCTTTGTCAAATGAACATCCCAGCCATAATTTTCATCTTACAGAGTTATTTTATTATTTTAGTTTGAAATCATAAGATCATTTAGGTTGAAAGAGACCCTTAAGATCATCGAGTCCAACCATCAACCCAACACTGACAAACCCAGCACTGCCCCATGTCCCTCAGCACCACCTCTGCCTGGCTTTGAAATCCCTCCAGGGATGGTGACTCCACCACTGCCCTGGGCAGCCCATTCCAAGGCTTCACAACCCTTTCCAGGAAGAAATTGTACCCAGTCTCCATCCTAAGCCTCCCCTGGCACTACTTGAGGCCATTTCCTCTTGTCCCATCACCTGTTCCTTGGGAGGAGAGAACAGAATCATAAAATCATTTTGGTTGGAACAGACCTTTAAGATCAGATTTAGATTAAGATTTACGCAATTGTTTTTTATTACTATTAGCTATTATTATTTATATAAAATACAGAATTAATTAATTAATTAATTAATTTTATATACTTGTTATATTAATAACAACTTTTAAATAAAATGCTGTTAATTTGGTAGAGCTGACATCACTTATAAGAACCTGGAGGCATTAACCTGTAGCTCTTTCCCATCCAATTGGTCCCTCTTCTTCCCTTCCCTTCCCTTCCCTTCCCTTCCCTTCCCTTCCCGCTGAGTGAGCCACCTTCTTTGGGGGTTGGGCTTGCAAGAAATTCCCATTTCTTTGGTTTTTTGTAGTTTTTTTACCAGCAAGTGAAGGCAGGTTTAATGTCTAAGGTTGAGGGAAAAAATCGACTTCTGCTTGGAACTATTTCACACTTTATAGGCAGAGGAGGAAGAAATCAGTGTGATATAAAGTGGGTTGGGGATATAATATTTTGGACTGGAGAATTCCAATGGTACAATTCTATTATTTTCCTCAAAGCATCCTTCGGTGAGGATATAGTTATGTTAAGATTTAATTCCATCTGGTGGTTGCTGGAGCTGTGTGGTGATGGGGGGTGAAATCTTTTTTGCAGTAGGAAAATCTCTTGTGGTTTTTTTTGCCAGTTCCGAGTAATTTGTGTCTGTTTTACATGTGTCTGTTGGCCTCCTCTTACATGGCTTCCATCTGGTGGTTGCTGGAGCTGTGTGGTGATGGGGGGTGAAATCTTTTTTGCAGTAGGAAAATCTCTTGTGGTTTTTTTTGCCAGTTCCGAGTAATTTGTGTCTGTTTTACATGTGTCTGTTGGCCTCCTCTTACATGGCAGAGGTTGGAACTAGATGATCTTTAAGGTCCTGTCCAACCCAAACCATTCCATGATTCTATGATTCTTTGTTGGGTTTGATTTTGTTGGGGCAGAAACTATTTCTTAAGCCTTGGACGATTTCACTTTTTTCCCCTCCCCCTGAATTTTCATAGTGATTTAAATAATCTAATGCAATTTTATATGGAAATGCGCTCTTAAATCAGTTGAGGCCTGAAATATACTATTTCCATGAATATACTATTTCAATGGTTGTCTGTGAAATTTGGTGGGTACTATTTAAATGAATATTTGTGAAACTTAAGTGAAATGGTCACTCGTCGTACAGGTTTAATATAGAACTTGCATTAAACCTATGTGTAACCTGGGGATGTTGTGGGATTTTGGGCTTCCTGGTTCAAGAAGGACAGGGACAAGAGGGTCCAGCAGAGGCTACAAAGATGCTGAGGGGCCTGGAGCATCTCTCTGCTGAGGAAAGGCTGAGGGACTTGGGTCTTTTTAGTCTGGAGAAGAGAAGGCTGAGGGAGGATCTGATCAATACTTATAAATACTTCAAGGGAGGGTGTCAAGAGGATGGTCTTTTGTCAGTGGTGCCCAGTGATAGGACAAGAGGAAATGGGCACAAACTTGAATATAAGAAGTTCCATCTCAACCTGAGGAGGAACTTCTTCACTGTGAGGGTGGCAGAGCCCTGGCAGAGGCTGCCCAGAGAGGTGGTGGAGTCTCCTTCTCTGGAGACATTCAAACCCCACCTGGACACGTTCCTGTGGGACGTGCTCTGGGTGGCCCTGCTCTGGCAGGGGGTTGGACTGGATGATCTCCAGAGGTCCCTTCCAACCCCAGATCATTCTGTGATTCTGTGATTTTATGGCTCAGGTCACAACAAGGCTTTTGAGTTGGAACTTTGATGTCATACATACATTTTTGTTACACATTTGGTATTTCTTTGCCCAGAAGAGATGTGTTGTACTTATATAAAACATACAGTATTGATTAGCAGTTTTTAATTAGCAAACAGCTGTGTATCTGGAGCACACAGATGTTGAGTGTCTTGGTAGCATCGTTTGGAGTGTTGTCCAGTGATTTGAGGGATGCTCTGGCTGGTGGAAGTGACCAGGTCCCTTCCTTGACATAAATGACATTTTCCTGAGCACGTTCCCTTATCCTCACCCGACCTCACCGTTGTGCGATGGCTTTTATTACACAACTGGATGAAAATCATTTATTATAACCCAAATCATTACGGTGCTCTGTGGTGCCATCTAATGGAAATAAAGCACTGCCATCCCTCCTGGTGTCCTCTTGTCACCCACCCTAATAATTACAGATCAATTTCTATTAAAAAGAACTAATCTGAATACCTTACGAATCCGAACGTGAATATTAATAAACCCTATTCCAAAGCACGTACTGCTTTGGGGAATTTCTTTCTGAATTTTCTCAAATTCTCTCCCTCCTGCAGGCTCTCGACGGCAATGTATATGATCACCTTAAGGATTATTTAATGGCATTCAGCAGGACTGAACTCGAGACGTGCCAAGCTGTACAAAACACGTTCCAGTTTTTACTGGAGACTTCCAGCAGGGTAAGTTTGAACTCAATGAACCTTTGTAACTGAATGCTTAAGAGCGTGTAGAAGTTCCCCGAGCTTAAGATTTGCTTCCAAAAGAATGACTGAACGGAATGGTTATTATTTTTTTTGGTGACTCCTGAGTGGTATTAAGTTAAAAAAAAACTGGACGGTTTTCTTGGGGAAGAATTGTTCCTGTTGCCACCCAGTTTGCCTTCTCCTGAGTACATTTACATGGTACCAGGTCTTTGGAGAACATCAATAAAGAGATGTTCACTGGTTTGGGAAGAGAAAACACAGCTGAGCTCTGCACTGGGTAATCTGGTACCACGTTAGGCATCCATCCCAGTAAAGCCCTCTGAAACTCTTCAGATTCTCTCTTACTAATTGACTTTCAGCTTAAAAACCCAAATATTACAGTGTTTTCTCCCTTGAATTGGGAGTGGCAAATACAGAAAACAGAGTCTTCTCCCAGACAGGGTTTGTTTGCTTTGTCGAGCAGCCAGAATCAGGAATACGTGATCGCTTCCAGGATAATTTTGATACTGAAATCATTCATCTGCTGGGCTAAAACTAAATAAGTAATTGCCACTGAGCTCAAATGAACTGCTCGAGGGCCGTCGTAATATTCCTTTATATGTACATCTTAACCACCCGGGCAGAAACAGAGCTCGTTTATGCTGGGGCCACTGAGCTCAAACGAACTGCTCGAGGGCCGTCGTAATATTCCTTTATATGTACATCTTAACCACCCAGGCAGAAAGAGAGCTCATTTATGCTGGGACTTAGGTAGAAACAGCATATTTAACACGTTCCTTATTCACCTGCAAGGATGCTAATTCATACTTTATGAGTTATAAAGTATATATTCGATATAAAGTCAAAAATTGGCTCTGCGGTAGCATGTTTTTGAATTTCCTTGGCAGCAACTGTAAGAATTATGAAAATAGTATTTTATCCTCTGGTGGAAGAGGACTTTCAATAATTCACCTTGGCGTATATCATTCTGGTTGCAGTTTGAATATGCAGAGAAGAAAAATGTGTATTATGTGACTTCTGAAAACGTGTGTCTTGCTCTGAAATACATTGGTTGGTGGCTTATTCCATGGTCCCAGGTTTTGCTCATCCTTTCTTTGGAATCTTAAGCTTTTCCTGTAGGTCCGTGTTGCAGGAATTGGCTCAAAAAGAACAGGGGAATCTGGAGTCTGAACTCGATATCAAAAGCATGTTTCGACAGCAGCTTAAGATTAAACACGGAACAAATTTGTTACCAATTTAGTAATTTGGAATAAACCCCGGGTTGCCGTCAAAGCAAAGATTTAAATATTTATTGTGGGGTTTTTTTTAATACTTCACCTGTTCTTTGTTACTTTTAAGATCAGAAGCTTGCCAGGCTACGCTTAGAAAAGACACTTCAGATCATCGGAAGAAATGCTTTAGTTTTTCCATCTGAGCAATGTTTCTGTTCACGGGAGGGAATTAAATTATATTTGCTTTAGAATGAGACAAGTTGCTTGAGTGCGGGAGCCCGTCTGGAGCACTGGGACCAGTTGTGGGCTCCCCAGTTCCAGAAGGACAGGGAACTGCTGGAGAGGGGACAGCAGAGGCTACAGAGATGATGAGGGGCCTGGAGCATCTCTCTGCTGAGGAAAGGCTGAGGGACTTGGGTCTTTTTAGTCTGGAGAAGAGAAGGCTGAGGGGGGATCTGATCAACATCTATAAATCCTTTCATCATCAATCCTATCATCTCTTTCAGTTTGAAGCCATTACCCCTTATCCTATCATTCCATGCTGGGAGGGCTGGAGCCCCTCTGCTGGGAGGACAGGCTGAGAGAGTTGGGGGGGTTCAGCCTGGAGAAGAGAAGGCTCCAGGGAGACCTCGGAGCCCCTTCCAGTCCCTCAAGGGGCTCCAGGAAAGCTGGGGAGGGACTCTTGATGAGGGAGGGGAGCCCTAGGAGGAGGGGGAAGGGTTTGACCCTGAAAGGGGGGAGATGGAGCTGAGATGTGGGGAAGAACTTGTTTGGTGTGAGGGTGGTGAGAGCCTGGCCCAGGTTGCCCTGAGAAGCTGTGGCTGCCCCATCCCTGGAGGGGTTCAAGGCCAGGTTGGAGGGGGCTTGGAGCAATGTGGTCTGGTGGGAGGTGTCCCTGCCCAGGGCAGGGTGTGAGACTGGATGGTCTTTAAGGTCCCTTCCAACCCAAAGCATTCTATGATTCAGTGAAATATTCCCCTATGACTCTGAGCATTTGAAAATGCAATTTAACTTCCTTTTGACCTGAACGGTCCTATTCAAGACTCGTACTTTTTGCATTTCTCTGTTGGAAAAAATTTGGTTTCCTTTGGAACATTTTCTGAAATTCTGAAATTCCATTTGCTGTTTTGAATAACATTTCTTTCATGTTTCTGGTAAGGAGCTTCACCAACCTGGGGCAAATAATTTCATTTATGCACGTTTCTGACTGTGCCTTCGTTCTGCATATGGTATATATTTATCTTTGGATTTCAAGTCTGTTTTAATCTATCGAGTGACATTGACTTTGTAAAGAAACTGCCCGAGAATGTTGACTCCATTTCTGAATAGCAGGAAATCCAGTTGGAAAAGTTGCTGCTTAATCCCAGAATCACAGAATCTTCATGGTTGGAAGGGACCTTTGAGATCATCGAGGCTAACCATACACACACAAAAAAAACCCAAACCCAAAACCACAAAAAACCCCACAAAAGAACCCCCACAAAACAAAACACCCAACCCAACAATCTTGGGCACTAGAGCATGCCCCAAAGGGAAACATCTACGTGTTTCTTAAATACCTCCAGGGTTGGTGACTCCACCACCTCCCTGGGCAGGCTGTTCCAGTGCCTGACCACCCTCTCAGTAAAAGAATTCCTCCCAGTATCCAGTCTAAACTTCTCCTGCCCCAACTTCAGACCGTTTCCTCTGCTCCTGTCATTGTTCCCTTGGGAGAAGAGGTCAACCCCTACATCTCTACACCCTCCTTTCAGGGAGTTGTAGAGGGCAATGAGGTCTCCCCTCAGCCTCCTCTTCTCCAAACTAAACATTCCCAGTTCCCTCAGCCTCTCCTCGTAGGACTTGTTCTCTAGACCCCTCACCAGCTTGGTGGCTTTCCTCTGGACATGCTCCAGCACCTCAATGATGTCCTTCTTGTAGTGAGGGGCCCAGAACTGAACACAGCCCTCAAGGTGAGGCCTCACCAGCGCCCAGTCCAGAGGCACCATCACTTCCCTGAGGAATTCCATGTTGTTGAGGCATCTTTTTCTTTTCTTTTTAACAATTACAGAATCACAGAATGATCTGGGGTTGGAAGGGACCTCTGGAGATCATCTACTCCAACACCCTGCTAAAGCAGGTCACGCAGGAACGTGTCTAGGTGGGGTTTCATAGAATCATAGAATCGTCCAGGCAGGAAGGGACCTCCAAAGGTCATCTAGTCCCACCTCCCCACAGTCAGCAGGGACACCCCCAACTAGACCAGGTTGCCCAGGGCCTCGTCGAGCCTCACCTTGAATATCTCCAGGGAAGGGGCCTCAACCACCTCCCTGGGCAACCTGTTCCAGTGCTCCACCACCCTCACAGTGAAGAACCCTCTCCTAATCTCCAGTCTAAATCTGTTCCCCTCCAGCTTGAAGCCATTTCCCCTCGTCCTGTCACTCCAGGCCTTTGTAAACAGGTTCTCCCCAGCCTTCCTGTAGGCTCCCTTCAGAGAAGGAGACTCCACCACCTCTCACAATTTTCAAATACATTGTGCAAAACGCTCTGGGGTGTTAATTCTCTGGATTTACACACTCCCCTGAGTCTCAAATTATAACACTTGTTCTCATTTGTAGCTAAATATTGACGTTTTGAGGGGAAATTTCTTGAGGACATCTAAGTTTTTAAGTGTTTTCCGGAAGGGATCGTGACACCGCGGGCATCGGCTGATGCTGCAGGCGATTCCTTCTTTAATATTTATCAAATTTTGATTTCTGGTGATACATACACCCTCCCCGTGTGCCTTCTCCCTGTGTTTCCCACACATTTGAACGTGTTTACGTTCAGCCGCTCCGATCGGTGCAGTAATTATGCACTTTACTCTTTTAAATGAGTTCCTTATTGGCCCTGGAGGACTATTTACTTTCTTCAACTGAAGATTAATTTTTTACACTTTCGGTATTTCCCTACCAGAAACATCAACATTTTGAGAGCTCCGAGAACATGTTGTGCTTCCCATTGTACGCTCAGTGCCATCAGAATTCTCGATCAAACACAAGATTGCTGCTATTTCTGAATAAATACCATCTTTATTACACACTTCTGTACATTTAGACCCTCTGTTTGGTAGTAGATTTTGATAATTTCATGCTGCTATTTATGGATTTTCATCAATTGAAGCTGGGAGTGCTCTGTAGGGTTCTCCAACCACTGATACTATTTTTTTCATACTGCAATCACCGAGTTTTTCTTTCTAAATCCGCTCAAATTGTGACATAAGGGATTTGTTTAGGGATATGTGTCACGCTACGCGAAATGTATCATTAAACAAATTTAGGAGCTGGAGTAGTTTTGGTTGAGAAAAATGGAAGCTGTGAGAGTTTTCTCTAAAAGCAATTGAATAGAAAGAGATTAATTTCGCAACTGATTTTGTCTGCGTTATTCCAAATAGTCTTTTCAGCTCCCACAACTAATAATTTGTGTGAAAAGAAGATATTTTAGCTTAAGAACGAACCATGCACAAGAAATTATCCCCAAGAGGAGAGAAAAATATTTACGGGAGTGACAGCACATAGTTTATAGTTGATAATTGGATTATTTTTTTCCTATTTTGCCCTTGTGGGATTCTTCCTTGGTTAATGGCAGGTGTTTTTCTAATAGGTGTTGATCAGATCCCCCCTCAGCCTTCTCTTCTCCAGACTAAAAAGACCCAAGTCTCTCAGCTTTTCCTTGTAAGAGAGATGTTCTAGGTCCCTCACCATCTTTGTAGCCTCTGCTGTCCCCTCTCCAGCAGTTCCCTGTCCTTCTGGAACTGGGGAGCCCACAACTGGTCCCAGTGCTCCAGATGTGGCCTCCCCAGGGCAGAGCAGAGGGGCAGGATGACCTCCCTCCACCTGCTGCTCACACTCTTCCTGATGCCCCCCAGGATGCCCTTGGCCTTCTTGGCCACAAGGGCACTTTGTTGGCTCAGGCCAGTCTTTTTTCGGTGGTGCCCTGAGACAGGACAAGAGGAAATGGGCACGAATTTGAACATAAGAAGTTCCATCTCAACATGAGGAGGAACTTCTTCACTTTGAGAGTGGTAGAGCCCTGGCAGAGGCTGCCCAGAGAGGTGGTAGAGTCCTTCTCTGGAGACATTCAAACTACTCTTGGAGATGTTCCTGTGGGACCTGCTGTGGGTGGCCCTGCTCTGGCAGGGGCTTGGACTGGATGATCTCCAGAGGTCCCTTCCAACCCCACATCATTCTGTGATTCTGTGATTTTTTTAGGTCGTTATCACGTCCTACTAGGTTTTCCTGCCCAGAATCAGGTCCTCTATTTTTGTTTGGTGCGTTCCAGGATGTGTCTCTCTGAAACAATGGACTAATTCTACTGTAGCGTGTTTTTAAGTTTACGAAATAACAGGTAATTTGTTATTTATGTTTTTTTTTCAGGTGGTGCGGGATTACAATCTACAGCTGTTTTTACAGGAGAACTCGGTGTTTCACAAACCGCAGCCTTTCCAGTTCCAACCGAGCGACAGCGACACGGTAAGAACCCGCTGAATTTCTTCTCTTATTTCTTCTCACTCGATTTTGAAGGATGCCCCTGGCAGAGGCTGCCCAGAGAGGTGGTAGAGTCCTTCTCTGGAGACATTCAAACTACTCTTGGAGATGTTCCTGTGGGACCTGCTGTGGGTGGCCCTGCTCTGGCAGGGGCTTGGACTGGATGATCTCCAGAGGTCCCTTCCAACCCCACATCATTCTGTGATTCTGTGATTTTTTTAGGTCGTTATCACGTCCTACTAGGTTTTCCTGCCCAGAATCAGGTCCTCTATTTTTGTTTGGTGCGTTCCAGGATGTGTCTCTCTGAAACAATGGACTAATTCTACTGTAGCGTGTTTTTAAGTTTACGAAATAACAGGTAATTTGTTATTTATGCCCACATCATTCTGTGATTCTGTGATTTTTTTAGGTCGTTATCACGTCCTACTAGGTTTTCCTGCCCAGAATCAGGTCCTCTAGTTTTGTTTGGTGCATTCCAGGATGTGTCTCTCTGAAACAGTGGACTAATTCTACTGTAGTGTGTTTTTAAGTTTACAAAATAACAGGTAATTTGTTATTTATGGGTTTTTTTTTTTTCAGGTGGTGCGGGATTACAATCTACAGCTGTTTTTACAGGAGAACTCGGTGTTTCACAAACCGCAGCCTTTCCAGTTCCAACCGAGCGACAGCGACACGGTAAGAACCCACTGAATTTCTTCTCTTATTTCTTCTTGCTCCTTTTTTAAGGATGGTGTTAGAAACGGGCAGGAGAATAACACTCCCTGGGATCCCAGGCTGCTTTAACCTCACACTGTATTTTTGGAAAAGAAAGGGAAAGTGGCCCGATTCCACCAGCGGTAGGTGGGTAATTAACAAAAGCATCAAACGAGCTCAATGTCATTCACAGAAGAGCAGAATCTCTTTATTTTTTTTTGTGACAAACAATCCCTCGTTTCTCTGCTTTCAGGCCAATTTCTTACTCTATTTCGAAATAACAGGTAATTTGTTATTTATGTTTTTTTTTCAGGTGGTGCGGGATTACAATCTACAGCTGTTTTTACAGGAGAACTCGGTGTTTCACAAACCGCAGCCTTTCCAGTTCCAACCGAGCGACAGCGACACGGTAAGAACCCACTGAATTTCTTCTCTTATTTCTTCTTGCTCCTTTTTTAAGGATGGTGTTAGAAACGGGCAGGAGAATAACACTCCCTGGGATCCCAGGCTGCTTTAACCTCACACTGTATTTTTGGAAAAGAAAGGGAAAGTGGCCCGATTCCACCAGCGGTAGGTGGGTAATTAACAAAAGCATCAAACGAGCTCAATGTCATTCACAGAAGAGCAGAATCTCTTTATTTTTTTTTGTGACAAACAATCCCTCGTTTCTCTGCTTTCAGGCCAATTTCTTACTCTATTTTATTGAGCTTTTTATCGTGCTGGTGAGATTTTCTTAATATTCACTAACACTGGGCTAGGGCAGGTGTGATGCTGTGCCCCATAAAGTGACCTCTAAATTACTCAACAAGTATTTATCCCAACACAGAAGAAGGTATTGATTTCAAAAGAATACATTGCGTCCCTAAATAATCTCAGAAAATATTCTTTTGGTGCCTGTGTTGCTTCCAAAGCCATCACTGATGCCATTAAATTACATAAATCACAGGATGTAAATCCATTTCCAAACGGTGCTTTAATGAAGTGGGGTTGTTGATGTCCCACCAACACTGCTAATGTTATTTCAAGAAAGAACAGTTTAAATCTAGATTTTTTTAAAAAAATTAACCTCGTGCTGCTTTTTATTAATTGAATTCGTTCATAAACTGACTTGGAGATAAATGGCTTGATCTTCGGTTCAGGTAATTAAATTCAAGAATCCTCTTAATAAGGGTGTGGGGGTGATTTTTCCAGAAATACCGACATTTTAAACACAATTTCCCTCGTTTTTCCCTTTTAACAGACTGGGTTGGAGTTTTCTTCCAGCTCCTTTGTACGGGGTGACTTATTGCCCTAAAGTTTGAGGTTGTTCTTGATAGAAGGAGCGGAATCTTTCTGTCTTTGCCCTGCTTTTCTAACCTTCCCTGCTGTCTCTTTTCCTCCCCGTCTCGTCTCCGCGGCCAGAGTTTTAACGCCGTTCAGCTGGTGGATATTGAACCCTCCCCTGTCAGTGCTATGAGAATGACCATAGCAGAGGTATCAGGGAGTATTTACCATCAGCCTTTTGGGTCATTTTTGCTGTCTTGTGGCTCGAGATATGGAATTTACACTCTTAGAGGTTGGCAAAAGAATGCGTGATGAGTATATAGATAAAATAAGAAAAGTGAGGTTTAATTCCACGAAGGAGAGCGCGACGTGTTCTTCGCTCTTTATCTTTTGCACTGGCAGAGCAAGTTTGTAATTGATATTCTAATCTTTTGGGGGCATGAATTAATATTTCACGGCCCCAGATAGTGATGTGTGTAATTGGGTACTTCCCTAATGTGAATGGGGGAGCTCGTACGACAACTGGAGGCTGTTTAGTGCGTGCTGATGAAATGCAGTCAGTCCCCATCACTAATTGAATTTTGTTCTCTTTCCAGAGGGCTACCCCCCACGTAAAATAGAACTGTAATTCCCTCTGATTAAACTCTTCAACATGAGAAATGACATGATGGCTTTGACGTGGTGCTTGGGTGGGTTGAGATGGTCCTGGGCCCTGCTGGTGCCCCTCAAGTTCAGGAGCTTTTTAAAAGCAATAAAGGGGTGGGTTTTGTCTCAAATTGTCCCAGTACCTCAGAAGCAGTGATTTCTTCACTTGGCACAGCCTTCCAGTCCCTCAAGGGGCTCCAGGAAAGCTGGGAAGGGACTCTTGATGAGGGAGGGGAGCCCTAGGAGGAGGGGGAAGGGTTTGACCCTGAAAGAGGGGAGATGGAGCTGAGATGTGGGGAAGAACTTGTTTGGTGTGAGGGTGGTGAGAGCCTGGCCCAGGTTGCCCCCAGAGAAGCTGTGGCTGCCCCATCCCTGGAGGGGTTCAAGGCCAGGCTGGATGGGGCTTGGAGCAACCTGGTGTGGTGGGAGGTGTCCCTGCCCAGGGCAGGGGGTTGGAACTCAATGATCTTTAAGGTCTCTTCCAACCCAAACCATTCTATGATTCTGTGAACCCACTTGGGCTGTGAAATGACTGCATTTCTTCATTGCGTTGCATTTTTCGAGCTTCTAGCTGCTATTCTGTAATCCGTTTTCCCAAAAATACATAAAATACAATCTTCTTTATGATCCATATAATTATTTTCAGCCAGAAGGATTATACCTGGACAATTGGAGCTTACGCATTCACCATGTTTAATCAATAAGTACAAAACCATAAGGGCTTTTGCCCAGGCTTTTGAATTGGTCCCAAATTGTATGTTTTCTAATGAATTGAACAACGTTTAATTGAGGAACAATTACCAAGCATTCTTTTGCCACGGATTCTCTTTGTAGATGCTCTGCTGAGGTTATCGGTTGGCTTTTTGTTTTTGTGGGTGATGCATGATAATTCTCACACCGAGGACTAACACTGAAAGAAATACAAGTCGAGTGATTAATACAACTAATAAATTTTAAATATTAACAATTTCCAAGAGCAAATTATGGTCTGTCTTCTGACCAAATACCTGATCCACCGTGACTGGGGGCAAAGTTTGGAGCGTTTAAATGTGACCGGAATGAACTTGTGAATATTGTAGGGAAAAAGAATCTTATAAACGATATGGATGTTGGAGTCCAGCTGTAGAAAAAGCTCTGAATGCTTTTATAAATTCAGGTTTCACATGGTCTGGCTCAAAATTCTGCTGTTGCCGAAGAGTAACGCGGAATGGATTGCCCCTTGAGTCAGGTACAAACCCCACAGCTCAATTTCCTTCCCAAATATTCCCAACGTGCACAATAAGAGCCTCCAAGAGAGACTGTTCCTGAGAAGGATGGGTATGAGATGGTTTTCCATCAATTTTTCAGTATTTTTATTTCCCCATCGTTAGACTGAAACATAGACTCTTGAGTGTCCATAGAGAGAAACCCACTGCAAAATATTTTCCATCGATCAGCTACTTCCCATTATCTAAAATACTGTTTTGAGCTTCACTTTCTGCATTTCCTCGTGTTACTTAATTATTTAGATTGTTTCAGTGTCTCCGTTAATTTCGACTGACATATTTCTTTCTTTTAAAAAAGAAGTTGTAATTATTTTTTTTTAATTTTCCCCTTAAGGAAAAGGGTTTGTTTTAAAAGTATCCGGTAAAAAATCACGGATAAATCCCCAACCAGCTTTAATCCCTGCGATAAACGAATTCACAAAATGGCTTGAGCCTTTACCAGCAGTGAGATGGAGAAAAATAAAAGGATTTTTGGAAATCCTGTTGGCCTCACAAGAAAAAAAGAGTCAGCACTCATTGACCTGCCAGGGAGGCTGCTGCTCCATTCAGTGTAGTGACAATTTAATCATCCAACATCCTCCCACGAGGCGCCGGAGATTTATTATGAAATTCAGAAATCCCTTACGTTGAAAACACCTTGTCCCCGCGCTCGGCAGATAAATCCTGGCCCGTAAGAACAAGGCAAAATGGAAAGGAAATTACCCAGCTTTTTTCTCTCTTTTCCTGTTTGGAAAAGATTCTTTTTCCTTGACCTGGGTGTTATCACATGAGAAATAGCACGTTTTGGCCGGATGGCCAAAAAACACGTCCCGAGCGCGGGAGGAGAACGGCAGCAAAGAGCTGACACTAAACTTTTGGAGGTCTTTTTCCTGTTATTTTTGTTTTTTTCCAATCTACGTGTTGCCTGTGACCGTAGTTTCCTCTGCCCGTGATGATGCTCCCGTTTTCTTGGAGCACGCAAGTAAAAAACGTAGTCAAATTTCACTGAATTTCGCGTAGTTTCCTCTGCCCGTGATGATGCTCCCATGTTCTTGGAGCACACGAGTAAAAAACGTAGCCAAATTTCACTGAATTTCGCTGAATTTTTAGAGTTGGAAGGGACCATAGAGACCATCTAGTCCAACTCCCCTGCTAAAGGTTAAAAAAATCCTGAGATCATCTACTCCAACTCCCTTGCTAAAGGTTAAAAAAACCCTTTTTCTCACTGTAATTTGCAGAAAAACAACCCCAGCATCTCAGTAGGATGGATGGAAAGTTTTGCACTTTCACCCCTCGTTACTTGGAGGTACAAGATTTATGGAGAGATTGGGAGAAAAAGGATGAATTTCGCTTCTCTGTCACACGCAGAGGAATATATTGAATTTCTGAGCAGCTTGTCTTAAGCTATATAATATAAATTATATATATATACGAGCTGTGCTTATAAAAAGACATCAGTCTTGCTTATGGCATGTTTTCTCAGCTCTCCAAATGCTCAGGGGCTTGAAAGTAAATAGAAATTATGGTATAAATGGGAATCGGGACTCAGTCGAGCCTCCTTTTTGCCAGATTTTACTTTTAGCAGGTTCTGTGAGTTTTTACAGAGTTATTTACGCATTTCAACATTGACTATTCAATTTATTTAAATATTTAAAATATATTTAAAGACTATTTAGTATTAAATATGCTTAAATATTTTACAATCCCTTTGTTTTCTAAATGGTGCTATATGCCATTTTTATAATTGTTGCCGATAAATATTTGATGGTCGATATTAAATATTTAAATCCAGAAAATTTCATGAAATATAAGCTGCTGGTAAAAAATAATCCCTCTCAAACCTAAACCCAAGCTGACAAGTTCAGGGAATGCACAATTTTTTCTGTATTTAGAGCAGTTTTTGCTTTTAATACCGGAACAGAGTAAGGGGACTGGTTTTAACTATAACATCTTGATGCTAAATAAATAGAAAAAAAAAAAGTTAGGATTTAATTTTATCACGGTATAAAATTAGAAATTAAAAATTGGGAATTACTGCCGAAGAGAAACACAGTCATTCAGGTAAAGAAATTCCCAGTGGATCCAAGTGGGAGCCTGGTGAAGCTGTGAATTCCCTTTGTGCGTGGCCAACGCGACTGAGAACGATTTGATTTAATTCCTCCCACCCCAGTGGTGGCTAAAATAAGGTCTAAGCTAAAAAAACCTCATATTTGAGGTTGATATTGAAAGGGTCGTTTGTAGAAAAGGGGAAACACCCCGGAGTTATTGACTCAAGTCTTCTCTTGGATTGAATTACAACATTGTTTCTGATTTACTTTACGTATAACGAGCTGAAATTGGCTCACTACCTAATTGATTTTATTTTCATTTAGAGAACGTGCTGTTAGTATTAATTTTTTTTTTACAGTCAGGAAACACCGTTTAAGGAAAATTGCAAATAATTCCTAGCAGTGAAACTAAAGCAGAAGTAACACTTGAAAGAAGTGGCCACTTAAGAAATAGCTCTTTGTTTATATTGCGTTGAAAATATCTCTAAATCAATTTCTCTTTGTCAAAGTTGATTCAAAATCGACTCTTTTTTTTCCTTCGGTTACCTAATGAGAGCAATTTTTCTATATTTCTAGTTATAATAGATTTTAGGGGATGTGAATGCAGCTGCTGTGCTAATTGAGGCAAATAATAATTATGAGGGTGAGAATAACTACACTAACAAAAAACATAATGCACTCTAATTTCAAAACTAATTTCAGTGAGAAGATTAAAAACTTTTAAAAAGAAATAAGATGAAAAATTAAAAAAAAATAAGAAGATTTGTGGCTTTTAATCTCTGCTATGTAACAAAAGTGTTTAATGCAGTAACACCAGGCACTGGGAGCAACGGAGCTGTATTAATCACTGACATCTAACAAAAAATAGTGCTTTTAAGATTCTCCTCTTTAAAAAAAAACCCAAAACAACCCAGAGATGGGATAAAAAAGAGCTACAACCTTTATAGTAACCCTGTCCCTCCCGTGTTTGGCATCAGCTGCTGCAACAACCTGGGCATAGTGTGTTTTGGGGGGAGATTTCTCGCTAATGGGCAACGATCCCCCAAAATAATTAATGAGCCAGAATCAAAAATAAACGAGGCCCTAAAAACCAACTGGATAAATTATTTCCTATAAATGGCTCTTCTTTTCCCGGGTGCTTTTAGTAAGGAGAGTTTTGGTTACAACAGATGTCGCACACTAGTTTCTATATTTGTTGGGATTTATTATTTCGGGATAGAATATTTTTTTAGCCCAATCCAGGAGATCACGGTGGGACTGGTTTTCAGCCCAG